ATATAAATAAAAATATAAATATATTAGAAAAAACAAATTTTTTACCAATGATAGGATGCTCGGAGACGTCAACCCAAGCCGACGCCAATATGCACTCCTCCTCCGGCGTCCACTTTTGGATTGCCCGTGCCGCATCGGTCAACGTGCCTTTGGCTTTGTGGCTCCTCCGGCGTGTACTTTTTTTCGATCCGGACGGTTCCGGTTGAGTCTCCGGAACCGAATCTCGGTCGACGTACCCCGATTGTTGCGTCTCGTATATCGGCGGTCGATCGCCCCACTCTTGGTAGAACCACATCGCGGCGTCACTCGGGGGGAGATTGTCGGGATCGAAGCCGGAGCCGGAAGGATTCAGGTTGAAAATTGGGAGGAGGGATTTGAATTTTGAAATTTAAAAATAAGAAAGAAGAAGAGATTGGAGAGAAGGTGTGAGAGATTGGTTGGGGAGGGTTGAATTTATAGGAATTTTTTTTTTTTTTAATTTGGGGTGCAACGGCTATTTTAGCCGTTAGGAGGGAGCAGCGCCCAACTCACGCCCCGTCATTCGTTTGACGCAGGCGCCCTCACGCCCGTTTCACGCCGGCGGGGGGCGGTGTTTCACGCCCCCGGGGCGTTAAACGCCCCGTAACGCCGGTGGGCGTGAGGGGTGTTACCAGTGCTCTAAAGAGTACCCGGAGTATTCTTTTGTGAAATTTACTGTTACAATTTTCATTTTTGAACCCAAACTCATATAGTTATAATACTCCCTACGTTCCTAAAAACATGAGATGTTTTGATTTTGAAGAGATTTAAGAGGAGTGTATTTTGGTATTGAATTTCCAAAAATGTCCTTTGATGTGATGAATAAAAGTAGGATTTGATGGGTAAATTATTAGTAAAAAAGGTATGATGTGATAGGTAGAGTATGAAAAACTAAGGAGTAAAAGTGACTTTTTAATAGAAATAAAAAGTATTTTTTGGGACGGATGAAAAAAGAAAGGAGAAAGGTTTTCAAGGACGGAGAGAGTATAATTCTTTCTTTTTGTTCTTAATTATTAAATAGTCATTCATTATAAAATTTTACATATATTAAGAAAAAAATCAATATGGACACAATACGTTTTCACAATCATTCACTTTTTAATGTATGTAAAATTATACTCCCTCCGTCCCAAATTATTTGTCACATTTCTATTACCGAGGCAAAATATCAAGTTTTTTCAATTCATTTTATTTACATATTGGTAAAGAAATAAAAAATAAAAATTACATATCAAAAAACTACATGAAAAGTTCTTCGAAATAAGAGGTGTCAAGAATACTTTATTTTATCAAATAACCAATGAAAACGTAAAAATAAATAAAAGTTCCCGCGACTGTTGAAAAAGCAAATGTGGCAAATAATTTGGGACGGAGGGAGTAATAGAATGGAAAGAATTGAAGTGATGATGTGTTTGATAATCCCGAATAAGTTATTCATTCATTGCACCACAATATAAATGCTAAAACTAAAAAAAGATAAAAGCTACAATATAATTGCTAAAACTAAAAAAGATAAAAAGCTCACAGTATACATTGATATATTTTACTAAAAAAAGTATATTTACACTGAAACACAATATATTTTTTCAATAAATCGAGGTCAAAACTTATAAATTTTGACCCGAAAAAAGTCGAACGGGAAAGATTAATTTCGGACCAAAATGATACACGTTTATGAGAAACTATAAGGTACGTGTGCATACGATGGGAGTATAGATAATTAAAAATTCTGTTTATTAATTATTTTAAATACTCTAAATAAATCTCATAAGCCAAAATAAATATTTAGTTGCTTACTTCTTCTCTTATAAGTCCCCTCTTTTTTACTAAGGCACCATTCTTTTGGGTTATAAGTACTAATGAAAAAATCGGAAAGAATTGAAAAATATTAGAAGATGATAGAAGAAATTGAAAGTAACTAGAAGAAGTTGAGGTGCTATGTTATAAATTTGAGGTGCTATGTTATAAATTTAAATATATAATCTTATGGTATAATACTCATCACATATAAATACTTTTTTAAATTGTTGTTAGAAGATGATAGAAGAAATTGAAAGTAACTAGAAGAAGTTGAAAGAGGTTGGAAGTTACTCCCTGCTTCCTTAACCCTATGTTTGGCTCAAGGATTTTGGAAGGAAAAGAAAAGAAAATAGTTTTATCTCATTTTCCTCACCAAAATGGAAGGAATTTGGTTTTCCCTCCACTTGGTATATTTTGCCTCTTCATTTTCTTTTCATTCCACTTTTCCTTTCTTTTCCCCTCTAACCAAACAAGAAAAATGGTTTTCCACTTCATTTTCTTTTCTTTTCCCTTTCAAATTCCTTGAACCAAACATAGTGTAAACGATTACCACAATTTGACTTTTTTATTCAAACTGTTGCACCCTTTGATCACGAATTAAATATAGTTTAAAATTATTAAATATTATAAAAAAATTTATATTTTAAAATAAACTCAATTTTACCAAATTTTCATTATAACTAAACATACTCTTTTTCATAATTCACGATCAAAAAGTGTCATTGTTTAACAAAAAATGTCAAACTATAAGAATCTTTGATGGAGAGAGTAATTTTTTCAATCAAAAGAAGATAGCCTAAATCGGTATAAATGAGTATGACTTTTAGCCCATATGATTCATATGGAGTCAGCCTTGCCTATATAAATGGGAAATTACTTTGTGTTAAACTAGTAATTGTGTTTGCACAAATTAAATTAGGATTGTACTCCATATCCAGTAAACTTCAATTTCATCCCAAACAAAAATCGAGTAATTAAAATGGAAAAAATATATATCCGTGTGTTACACCATTTTAATAAATAAATATGTGTCTCGGTCCCGCTTTAGTTTAAAAGGATTCCGAACGAGTTGAGAACAAAACTTCATCATGCTAAACAAGATGTTGTAGGTCTTTCCCAGTGCGGGTACTTATTGATTTATTGTTGATAAGTAGTTTTTAATTTATAAGTCAAATATTCTTTCAAGAAGTTAAAGTGACTTAAATCATAGATAAATTATTTGTAAATATTTATAAATGGTGAGAAACAGTTTTATTGATAATCTTGTCAAAATAAAGAAATGAAAAAATTAATTTAAAAATAAGTAGCTAAGATCTATTTATTTTTTTGTGGCTCATAATCACTTATAACCCAGCTTATAAGTATACAGAAACATGTCATCAACTGATTTATAAGTTAAAAATGGCTTATTAGCAGTTTTGACCAGCTTATAAACACAAAAAAATACCCACATTATAGAGATGAGATCGAGATATTAGGACAACGCGATTGGGATTCCTTTCCACCACTTGCATTCTCCATTGAATCTTTTTCTGACAAAAAAGTAAAAAAAAAATATATTTGAAAAACACATCCTCCATAAAAAAATCATAAAACTTACTACTTCCTCCGTCCTTGAGTATTTTTTCACTTTTGACTTTTTTTTTTATCAAAATTGGTAAACGTGGACCCCAAATTAAATAAAAATAATATTAAATATTGATACAAAAATAGTTTTATTAGATTTATTACATCAAATATTTTCAAAATATTATTTATCTAATTAATATAAAATATATATTTTATTTAATTATAGGTTAAAGGTTGAAAATAATTAATATAAAATAATCAAAACTGAACAAGTACTCAGAAACAGAAGTAGTATATGGATTGACAAGCAAGAGTGCAAGACTCACAAGAGATGCCATACTTTTGAGGAAAATGCTAGGGGTACACCAAAGGTGTATCCCATTTGTCCACCACCCCCTCCATTACCACTTAAATATGCAAGAAATTTAAAAAAATTAAGTAAATAAAAATAAAAAATAAATGAGTGGTTCTACTTTTGAAGACTTGAGGGTCTTGGTTATAACCCAATAGGCCTGATTGAGACGGTATTGGGCTCAGTCCATTGCATTTGGATTTAAACCCAAACCCAGACCATTTACCAAGAACCCAGGGGTCTTAGCTTCACTTCCAAGTTCCAACTACGCAAGCAGCTCGCCATTTCTCCGGTACACAGCCACCGTCCTCCCCCGCCACAACCTCCTCGTATTCCCCGCCGTCTCCACTTTCCGGTGAGACCTATCTCTATCATTTTCTTCAATTTCTACGCTTAATCTTCTCACTGGTTCCTAAAATCCCCCCCTCTCGAACTATTGGGGCTCTGATCTGTTTCTGGATAGGTTAAATATTGGGGATTTCGATTGTGTTAATTCTCTTAACTGATTATGATTCTTTGAAGGTCATGACACCATTTGAAGTGATATCATCAGATGATTCTGATATTGAAGATGTTAAACCAGATGTTGATATTGACCAGCTACTCGGCACCGAATGTGTGGCTCACCCACCTCTTAATGAATTGTCTGAAGGTAATTTTGTTTGATTTTCCTATTCTTTTATATAAAAAACTTGTTTGGTTATGATTTGGATAGTTCATGATTCTTAATCTCTATATAATTTCTACTCGGAGTCGATGATAATATGATTACTTGCTATCTGCAGCATAACCTTCAAATACCCTATTGAATTTATCATGCTTAAGCCTACAGTCGTACACCTTTTAAACCTCATTCCTTCGTTCCCGATTCCAAACTCTTACCAGAAAGTGAACATAATGGGCCCTAAGTTTTAGTTTTGATCAAATGGAGGTATTGAGATTTTAATGGTTTTGTTTGTGATTGCTTTTCGGTGTGAAGACGTGATAGCGTCATTGAGCTCCTAATTATTGCCCGGAACTGCCTTCTTCTTCTTCTTCTAGTTACCATTTGATATCCATAAAATCTTGGATGGAGTCGAAATAAAGATGAATTGCAATCTAGATTAGAATTTAGATATATGGTTTCTTGTTTCTATTACGATCCTTGCTTGTTAAAGTTTATATTAGATGCTATTTGTAATTATGTTTTTTTTCTAACGGGTGCGAAATTGCACTCGGTAAGATTCATTTATTATGCACTAGAATTGTAAAAGTGTATTGATTAATGTCCGATTTGGGTCTAAGTGATGAAAAATGCACTTTTTGTATTTTCAAACTTCCCCAATGTGTAATAAATGAGGTTTAACAAGTGAAGAAGCTTAATTTGAAAAGTGATACTCAATAACCCGTAATAACATCTAATACCCGTAACAAGTAATAGTACCAATGCTTGAATGGTTCATTACATGAATTTAGATTCCTTGTGTATTACTACTATACGCATCGGCAAACCTTTTTTTGTGTAAAACAGATGAACTGATTAGAAGTTCAAGAATGTACCAAGAATACATGCAGACACTATCCATCCCTTCCCTACACTGCTCTGTCATTCCATTTACCTCATGGATGGGATTAGCAGCTTCGCTTAAGAGGCTCTACGGGCAGCCACTACATTACCTCACCAACATTCAGATGAAGCAGTGGGACCGAGTGAGAATTGGGGCCCACGATGAAGACGTTCCGCTGGACACCATAATCCATCCCAGTAAAGCCGAAGCCACGATCTGGGCCATTGAAGACGTTCATAGGCGTACCACTTCTCATCTCCATCTGGCAAAACTCTGGCAAAGTGATCCCAGGCATCACGCCTTCGTTGACCCCATTGTTCCAAAGCTTCAAACCTTGTCCAAGTAAGGTCCTTTTTTTGGCAGGCTTAGCTAAACTTTTAGTTGCAAGATTTGGGTATCTATTTTGACTTCATTTCGTCAGTTAATGTTCCATTTGTGTGAGTTTGTTCTTCTACTTATAAATTGAGAAGTGATCTGAAACCGTAATTAGCCAACCAAATAGTGCATTCATCTCCCTCCCCTTCGGCCAATTAACAAACAGGGCCTTTGAGTAGATATTTTTTTTCGAGAAACACAAATTCGTATTTTTTCCGTGTCTGTGCTTTCAAGGGGACGCGGTTGTTGATTTATATGCCAAAAAAATGAATTCCTCTATAGAGAAGGAACATACTTCGTAATATGGATAAATTTGGTTCTTTGGGGGAACATTTTCTTTCTTCTCTATGCTCCTTTCTAGACTTATTTTGTTTAATCAGAACCTTCTTTCTTAGCCTAGTTTTTCTCTTACGCCAAGTCTACATTCTCTTACGCCAAGTCGGCACTTACATCTAAGAGAAATCATAGGAAGAAGGAAGTGGTGGAAAAAAATCACCAAACCGAGCACGGCAAGTTGGAACGAGGAGGAAAAAATCACCTAACCCCAACGGCTATTTTAGCCGTTACACCCCAAAAAAAATCTTTAATTTAATTTTTTTTATAAATATCAAACCCCAATCTTCAATCTTCTTCACATCTTTTTTCAATCTTCAATTTCATTCACACACATCTCTTCAGTCTTCTTCAAAATTTTTTAATTTTTGTCAACATGAATCCCTCCAGTTCTTCCCCCCCGGCGGTCTCGGGCCAAACGTGTACGCGATGTGGCTTTTCCGAGTACACGTGAGTAATCCGTCGTTGTTGGAAGCGTACGAGAATAACCCGTCGTTGTTCGAAACGCAAACATCGGTGAACCTCGATGACTCGGAATCAGTTCCGGAGAATCAACCGGAAGCAATTGCACCAACGGGAACCAAAAAAAGTGCACGCCGGAAGAGTCACAAAGCGAAAGGCGACAAATCGATAACCAGGGCGACACGGTCAATCCAAAAGTGGATTCTGGAAGAAGAATCCTTGTTGGCGTCGGCTTGGGTTGACGTCTCCGAGCATACTATCGTTGGTAAAATTTATATATTTTCTAATATATTTATGTTCTTATTTATATATTTGTGTTAAAAAATTCATTTGATTATGTACTTTTTAAAGGTTCGGAGCAAACAAAGGATGCGATGTGGGATCGCATCGAGGAGAAGTTCTTTGCGGCGATGGACAAGGACGCCTCGTACCGTACACGAGACCAACTCACTTATAAATGGGGCCACATCAATCGTAAAGTCCGGAAGTTTATCGGAGTTTACGAGGAATGCTCTCGATCCTGAAAGAGCGGGACGAACGATGCCGATGTTCTCCGACTTGCCATGGCCCGGTATCAAGACGACGGGCACCAAGGCAAGGTGCCTGTCGATCTTTGGAGAATTTTAACCCGTTCACCAAAGTGGCAACAACTCAACTCTCCCGAGACCGGATCCTCAAAAATAAGATCCTCTGCCAAGGCCGAGATTGAGGTCGATGACACTATCGGTTCGTCCAAACAAAGACCTCCCTTCAACGTAGATGATTCTGATGACGAGGACCTCATTCCACGACCGATCGGAAGAAAGAAGGCAAAACCATTGCCTCGGGTTCTAGAGAGTCTGGCTCTATTTCCTCTCACGACGATATCGGTCGGGCAATGGTTGAACAACTTCGGGTGTTCAATATTAGAGAAGAAGAGAGGGAGAAGCGAAGGCAAGAGAAGGAAGAGATCAAAATAATGGAAACTGACCTTGATACGTTATCGGGCTTCAAACGTATGCTCTTCGAGAGAAGACAAAAAGAGATCAAGGCTAAATATAATTTGTCTTAGTTTTTTATTAATGTAGTTTTTGTTAAATGTTCTTTTTTATTGAATGTAATTTTTATGAACTATTGTTGTTTTAATTTTTTTAATTTAATGAATCCAATTTTTTATGAATTATTCTCATTTCCATGTAATTAAATAATTAAATAATTAAATTTTATTAATTCAAATTTAGAAGATGTGCATTTAAAATGTAAAAAATAAAAGTGTGAAGCCCCGGGGCTTCAAATCCATTTCCAGTGAATCTGTGAGGTAAGTTAAAATTGACGTGACAGAGAGAAAAAGTTTGAAGTCTTGATTTGAAACCCAGGTATTTCACGGGTATTACTCTTTAGTGTCAATATTGAGTCTTGTATTGTTACATTTTAACTATTAATGCATCTATTTATACAAATGAAAAACTATTCTCACAATTAACATGTCAAAGAACCATAAATACGGAGCATAAAATGGGTCATGTTTAGTGTACATCAAAGTACTAAATTTACAAAGTTTTTTTTTTTGTGTGAGGACCCACAATACTCCGTGTTTGAGAAATTAAAAAGAATTTTCCAATAATAATTCACTCATATGCAATTAAATATATTGAGGCAATTGAGCTTCAAGAAAAGACATATATGGGCAGAAAGGTAATTTCAAGTTAGGCAAATAATGAATAACAGAATAGCAACTGAAGTTGACAATAAGATGAAAGAGGGGAACACACTCAATCTTTGTCATACTCCCTTTGCTGTCATTGTTAATGCACATCAATGTTTGGATAATGGCCAATGTTACAGTTAATACTCCCTATCCCTACTCTACTGTTCTAAAATGATATTTTGTTTATTTTTTTAATTTTTTGTTGCATAATATTTGTCCGAAATTATTTTCATTTAAATGATATTTTTTTAATTTTTTAATGTTTTGTTGCATAATATTTGTCTGAAATTATTTTCATTTTAATTTATTTAAGTATTAGTAAAACTTTAAAAACTAAATCTAAATATATATGGAGTACCTGTTTAGAAACTACATTAAAAGATCTATAATGTACAAAATTTTTTCTTTTAATTTTTTTTGTTTATAGATAAATATAGGAATAATAAGTTTAAGTTATTTAACATTCTGATGTATTTTAGAAGTATATAAAAAATTATACAGAATATTGGTGACATGGATATTTTATTTTATTAAATAATCGATGAAAATATGTAAATAAACAGAAGTTATCGAGTTATGAAAATTATAAGTGTGATAATAATTTTGAAACGAAAGGGGTACATAGCTAGATTGATAGGAAAATTATTAAGGTATCCCAACAATTGTATGTCATATACTCATATATATACCAAATATATGCAACACATATATGATATATTTATGTCTGTGCAGATACAGATATTATTAAATATCTGTATTTGTTTTTGGTGTATAAATGGGGTACAACTAGTAGGTACCCCATACATTCCCCATGATATGATTTGTGGTCCTTTTTTTAATGAATAAAACAAAAAAGAGGGGATGTAAAAGCCAGCTGGTTGCCTTCATTATGATGAAACTTTATCTCCCAACCATTTTGGTTTGACATGTTTAAAAAAAATAATCATGAACATTGATGGATGTGTGTGTGATAAGATTGGAGGTTGCTAATTAAACTTGCTATAATAATCATTGTATTTAGAACTAGAATAATTCTTCATGTACATCACCGGTCACCGTCATATATATATTGATGGAAAGAAATGATTTAGGACGAGTTAAGGAAGTATCCTAAATTTTAATTTTAATGTAACCCTTTGGTTATTTTTCAAGTTGTTTGTGCACAACATAAATAATTGTTACATGGATAATTCAAAAATAGAGGGCTATATAAAAATAGCTTATAATTATATTAAAGTGGGGTGTAAAATATACCTACAAAAATTCGTTATAAAAATATTTTTTGTTATACCAGAAATACACCAAAAGATGTGGCTTAAGTCGATCTATGGAGATCGATTTAAGGCACATCTTAAGGCCCTAAGTCGATACACGATATATAGTTTATCTACTATATAATTCTGGGTGGGAATAAAAATATTGAGAAATGAATTTTTAGCAAAATTCTATTGTACAAAACCGGATACAATAATATTAATGGAATAAATAGAATATTAATGTGGAATGTCTTCTTGGTCGTTCTAGCTAGGACTTTACTTGCTTTTTAAGAAAAGCTTGAACGGACAAATAATGAATATTGCAAATAATTTCCATAAAGATAATAAAAATATATTGCAAATAATGTTTGAAGTTTGCACGCCTTTGTTTGCGACTTTGTGCTTACAAACACGATTCAGTAATACGATTGAATTCAACGCCAGGTTTGGGTCCTCACTTTTTATTTTGTTATGATATATTTGTAAATTTATAAAAAAAAACCATAAAAGTGTTAGTTTGTATGTTAAAACGAGGTAAAATATCAAGTTTTCTCAATTCATTTTTATTTAAATATTAGTATAAAAATAAAAATAAAATTTATATATTAAAAACTACATGAAAAGTTTTTTAAAATAAGAGATGTCAAAAATATTTTATTTTAACAAATAATCAATGAAAACGTATAAATAATCAAAAATTTTTGTGACTGTTGAAAAAGAAAATGTGGCAATCATTTTGGGACGGAGGAAGTATATATTTATTTATATAAAAGTTCCATGTGTTAAAAAAACTTCTATTTTCATACACTCTCCATCCCTGAAAACATGAGAGATTTTGATTTTTAAAGAATTTGAGAAGATTGTATTTTGTATTGAGTTTCCAAAAAAGTGCTTGAATGTGATGGGTAAAAGTAAGGGACTGCTTGGTACACGAAATTTACGGAATTAGAATTGAATTGAAAAAAAATATTGACTTGAAAAAAAACTAAAATAATTTATAAACCATAGTTATGGACATAATATTAATAATAATAATAATAACATGAAAATATATCATTTTTTAGTTCATTCTTTAAAAGTCTAGAGAGAGTTTGAAGAAAAGGAGAATAATGAGAAAAGCGGGAAGAGATTAGAAAAAACTAGAAGAAACCGTATGAAAAGTGAGAAATAGAGAGACATTAGAAAAATTAAAAGAAACTAGAAGAAATTGAAATGACTAGAAGGAATTGAAAAACTTAGAAAAAACTGGAAGCGTGTTGTCTTTATCTTATTCTTATTATCAAATTAAAAAGAGCTTTGATTTCAATTAGAACAAGATCAGATCAGACCTTAATAAACTTATAACAGATTCAATTAGATCAGACAAAGAGATCAAACCTATGTTTTATACTCTCTCCATTCAAAAAGTTGTTTCCACATTATTTTGACTTGTTGGTTAACTTTTTACACCCTTTGATCGTTAGTAAATATTATTCTTTATTTTATACAAATAAATATTATAAGAAATTGATATATCAAAACTAATCCTAAAATGGAATCAATTGTATTAAATTTACATTATATTAAAGTATACATTTTTCATAATTTCTATTGAAAGTGAATAGAAAAATGACTTTAAAGTTAAAATGTGGAAAAAATTATTGGGATGGATGTAATAGTGGGTATTCTCTCTCAAATTTCAATTAACTCGGGAGGGAGGGAATAATTAAGAAATAAATCTCTATTCTAGTCCTTGATTTAAGGAAGATTTGGACCTTTGGTAGATTGTGATATTTCTTCTGTATCCACATTAAATTTTTTATTTACATGGAATTTTGTTGCTCAATTCGTGAAACAATTTGCAATTAATTGGTTCATTTTATTAAATTGTATCATAGGAAGACCCGATCACGGGCCCGTCTATCCAACATTCCAACCTGCCCGCAAAAGCTCGCTCGCAAAATAACATGCTTGGGTTTAACAATTTAGGGTACGAGGCAGGTTAGAACTTTATAAACGGCGGCCCATGCGCTTTAGGGTGGCTCAGGCTTTATGCTCAAGCCCATGACGGGTCAGAATGAATAATATAAATAAAAACAAAAGAAGAAATTGCAAGTATATATATTTAATAAAATGAATATATATATATATATATACACACACACGCACGCACACAGAGTATTTCCTAATTCTCATGCACTAGCTTCGTTTTGAATTGAGTCAAAATGAACAAAGGTTGATTATCAATTAAATAAAAAATATATTGTATAATTGTATAAAATAACATTATTAGATTTTTTTGTTAAAAAATCTTAGAAATTTATTCCATTGTATTAATATATAACACAGATTTAATATTATTTATTATTATAGTTCCTCTAGTTTGATTCAAAAAAGTTAAATTAAAAAAATATTTAGAGGGACTATGTTCTATTTTCTTGGAAAAAATAAATTCTCTCATTATTTATTCCTAACCTTTGGAAAGCCGCATTCTAAAAGTGTTTCTCTCGAAAGAAATCCTTCCAAATCAATATATAAATCTTTCTTGTAATAACTCTAAAGGATGCCAAGTACTGTAAAAGAACTTCTTTGTTTTTTTGTTTATGAGACTTAAATGACTTCAAAAATGTATATATAAAAGACATTTTATCTTATACAACTGCACCATAAAACTCCAAAACTCTAAAAATCAAACAATAACTATGCCCTATTCCAAGTAACTAGGACTGGATTGCAAATAAAATTACGTTATTTTTTAACACTAATAACTCTAAGAGTTGTCGCTTTCATTAGAGATTGAACTCATGACTGTCCATTTGGAAGAGTCGTCTTTGTTTCATTTGACCACAAGGTCTTTGCCGAGAGTCACATTCTATCACTAACAAAAATGTTATGTCGTCAACTATTTCTTTCTATACATAGTCACACACTTCTTAATTCAAATACCACAAATCACTCAAATACTTATTTTCAATTTTTTTGGGTATCTATGTTCATGATTTGTGCAACTAATATCTCCACACCTCAAGTCGATCTTCTCATAGATGCATCATTATGCCTTTTATGTTAATTATCCAAAAAATTATAATCTATTTTGTAAAATGCTAGACTTATAAACACAAGAGTTATAAAATACAAGAAACATGTCATTTGTGTATGTTCGCGATGAAACTTTAATTTTATTAAATATAAATCTCGCAATATTTCTCAAGAATTACAAAATATGGAGTAATAGATACAAGAATATTGCACTTAAGATTGATATGAAAGACTTCTCCTCTATTTCCCAACGTTTCTAATTCAAGTAGGTCTCTTTCGAAAACTATGTAAACTTCTCATCAAATAATTAACCCTAGTGAACGGACTCCAGCCTATACTATAAGGTATGCCTCACGCCCCAATTGGGTTTACCCGCCAACCGGTTCATGAGTCACCTTTGGGTATTGAGCCCAATCCGCTAGATGCATATCTTGGACAAATATATTGAGCTAATTACATGAATATTTATCTCTTGACCTAATATAGTCATCAATGTATTTAACTTTTTATTCTTAAAATATTCAAAATCATTTTATTCTCTTGTTGTGTTGTATAAAGTGCGAGATTGTATATTTTGTGCCTTTATATTTGTAACTCTAGTATTTCTCATTCTTTTTTCTTTACTATTTTGGGCTCGATAACTTTTTATTTTCGTATGCATTTCATTGATGTTTTGATAAAATAAAATAGTTATATCACCATTGTTTTGTACAATTAAAACTTTAAATGTAGTTTTTACATACGTAAATTATACTTTTTTTCCATACTAATTTGTAAATAAAATCATTTTAAAAATGATGATTTTTTGCATGTTGTTCGAAAGAGGACATTTTTTTAGTTGTGCATATAAATACGAGTAATAAACAAAAAATTAATTTTATAAAAAAGCTCTAATTAACTTTATGATTTTGAATGACCTACGCAATTTTAATAATGATCCAGAATTGCTCTTTTTGACTGGGTCTTTTTTGAAGTGAATTGATTTTACACTGCATGTTAGGTTGATGGTTTATATTGAGACAAAAAATTAATACAAAAATTAGTAAAAAATTAGTTATATCTAAAGCTATTTCAAATTTGATCTGGTCTGGTATGATATAATCTTATTCGAATAAGAATAAGTATTAAGTGAGAGTTTTTTTACATCATTTATTCTTGAACTCTTTAAAAATTATTCAATTTTTCCAGAATTTTAAAAATTACATCAACGATCCTTGCACTTTTAAAAGTGTTACATCAATAGTCTATGTGTGCTAGATTTAGGAATACGTTAATCATACAATCATCTAGTGCGTGTAAATGCACAAGTCTGGATTTATCTAAACTCATATATTGCAAGTCAGTTTTGCTATAACCCTAATATCATTTTCTATATTTTAATCCTCTTGAAAGCTCATACACATACTCTCGCTTTAGTCGTCAGTAACTGAATTCGAAGTTTGGGCATCAGTTAATCAAACTCTTCATAAATTGATCAACCTTTTCATCAATCTATGACTTCTTCATCTAGCTATAACAAGTCTATTGATGAACGTGTGATTAACGCGTTTCCAAATCAGACCCATTAATGCAACATTTTTTAAAGTTTGGAGATCATTAGTGCAATTTTTAAAATTTAGAGACAATTCATTCCATTTTTGAAGAGTTTCAGGACAAATAATGAAAAAAACTCAAATAAGTAATAAGAATAAATTGAACAGAACAACCTTTTCTACCCGAATATTTTTCTAAATTTACAATCAAGTGCGATTTTAGACCAATTTTACCCCACCAACGTATTTTACGTTTTCTTGTCTGAGTTTCAAAAGAATATGCTCGCCTTTTGACATGAAATTGTACAGTGGCCTTGAGAAAACCCCCAAATTCGGCTTTTCTTACCCCCGCAAAATATGGCCTAATCTTAAGCAAAGCTTCTTCTTTCTTCAAAGACAGTATGATTCCTCTGCTACTTTGAAAAGATATGGTTATGGAGCATCTCACTTTCAGCTCTAAATGCAAAAAATTAAAATAAATAAAAATTCCCAGAACCCAAACCCTCCTATTCAGCATCCAAAGTCGAGAGCTTTTTCTTGGATTTCTTCTTCCCAATCTGTTCCGGTATGCATCTGCTTCTCTTTTGCCATTCAATTTGCAGTTCTTTTTCTATGCTGCTAAGGTAAACCCACAGATTCGGTTGTTGTCTGAGAACATCTGAGAGATCCGACAGGGAAAAGTCGAAATCTTGGGGTTTTTTTTGTCAGACTATGTTAAAAATGAGGGATTTTCCTTCTTGTTTCGGAGAAAACGGGGTACAAGTTGCCGACACTTCTTGTTCGAGTGTTTCTGGGGTTAGTAAAACCCCACAGAATTTGGTCACTTGTGTTTATCAGTGTAAGATTTTTCAGAAAATTTGTCTTGTGACCATATCTTGGAGCAAGAATTTGATGGGTCAATGCCTTAGTGTGGAGATAGATGATTTGTCTCAACGTTGCCTTTGTAAAGTTGATATTAAGCCTTCTTTGTTTTCCAAGAGGAAAGGGTCAAAGTCCCTAGAAGTGAATTCATCTGGGATTGATCTCTATTGGGATCTCTCTGCTGCAAAATTCGGATCCGGGCCCGAACCATTAGAAGGGTATTATGTAGCTTTAGTTTGTGATAGGGATATGGCTTTGGTCATTGGGGATCTGAGGAAAGAAGCATTCAAGAAGACTAATGCAAACCCCTCCACTACTCCCAACTCCTTGTTTGTTTCAAAGAAAGAACATGTTTTTGGGAAGAGGGTGTTTGGGACAAAGGTTCAATTTTGTGATGGCGGTCCGGTTCATGACCTCGTGATCGAGTGTGATGCGAACCGGGTTGATGACCGGTGCCTTCACATCCGTGTCGACAGTAAGACCGTGATCCAAGTTAGGCACTTGCTTTGGAAGTTTAGGGGGAACTATACCATTTTGGTGGATGGGCTTACAGTGGAAGTTTTCTGGGATGTCCACAATTGGCTGTTTGGCACTACCAACTTGGGGAGTGCAGTCTTCACATTCCAAACAAGTTTGTCTTCAGAGAAGTTGTGGAAAAGCCAGTCCTTACTGGATCACGCCGTGCTGCCTTGGCCTTACTCAGAGAGCTTCAGCAGTTCCAAGTCTCCTGCTATCGGTTTCTCCTTCGTTTTATATGCTTGGAAGAATGATTAATGGTTTTTATCATCTTCGACAGTCATTAGTTTTTCTTACGTGGCTTGTTAATTGTCCTGGATCAAAGTAATTTGACTGAAAACCTTTTGTGGGTTTTTGAAGCTGATTATACTTTACCATAGTGATTGAGCAATTTGTTTGAATGAGCTTGTTTGCCCAAGTATTAGAGTGTCCATCAGTCTTCCTTGATCAGCTTGTGAGGTTGAAGTTTAACAAAAATGAAACTTTTGTTAAAAGAAAGATTGTTAAGTTTTACACTAAACGTTAGTATTGCTTTACAGTTGTTGAAGATCTATGGTGTTCAAAGTCCAAAGATCATCAGGATCTTGGCGAGATTCTACTGAGTTTGTTGTTTTTGTCGTCGTCGTCTAATCCCATCTTCTCCTTGGGTCATTTTGGATGAAGGTTTGAATTTATATATTGGCATAGTGAATGAATGGTCCACACAGCACTCTGTGTTAAGAATGTTTGATTTCATTCTTCTTATTATAGTCTATCTATAGAGGTTGTTCTGAAATTCTAAAGAAAGGGTAAGGCCTGTGTATTCCACATCCTTTTTGGATTCCATTCATGGGTGCACATACCTTTACGAAGATCAAACAACTGTTATATAACTTGTAAATGTGCATACGCTAATTTTGCAATGTGCACGTTCTACATATCGATTCTTCCATTGATTAGAAGGGTTATTAGCGACGAAATCAAGTTTTCTTTATGAAGATAAAACGAGTGTTATATAACTCGTAAATGTGCATACGCTAATTTTATAATATCGATTCTTCCATTGATTAGAAGGGTTGTAAGTGACGAAATCAAGATTTTTGTTAACAAAATCTAAAGGGCCAAACGACCATCATTTTGATCTAAAGCACCCCCTAGTCCAACCCACCTAAGTCCAAAACAGGCCAAAACATCTAAAACCCTTCCTATATTGTTTAGAAAGAAACCAACTAGTTTGGTGTTTGTGACCATTCCTCACACATGCACGAAATTTCCTCATTATATTCACCTTAAGATAAAGTATGTTTATTTGTTAGAAGTTCTATCCAACATAATAAGGATTGAATATGTAAAAATCTTAACTTCCTTGTTTTTGTCACAAAAGTCAACTTTTGTGCACTACCGTTGTGTTTCATCTATTAAGCCGAAATTTCCACCTTATTTAACACCGGAATATTGATTTTATATCTATAAACTATAAGCCAAAATTCCTTCCCAAAACAATTGACAAAACATCACAAAAGTATCCACTTTGACAAATGTGCATCAACATTTTCTTCACCTTTCATTTTAACCATAATATAAAGTCAATACTCATAAACTTTTCTACTATATGAATTGCGAAATACATAAATAGAGAGGAGAAGAAATGCTTAGTTTTAATCACTTTTGACTTGTATAACACCTTTAAACAACTTCCCTTAATTGAAGGAAGTTTGTCTTTATCTTCCATTTTTGTCCCCCTCATATTTCTTTTCCTAAACATCTTTTTTCCTTTATAAAATAGGGACTAACTAAAAAGAACCCACGTCTCCTGCCTCCCTATTCATATATCCACAGGCCAAAATACAACAAAAACTCCCTATCAAAATTTTATACGAAATAAGTTATCATAAGAATAAAGTCAGACACAATATATTATTATACTTATTTATAATCTAACTTTTACCCTCAAACTTTATGATATTTGATAATGATTGGAATTAAATGTAAATTGAACTATAACTTGATTTTAAAACCATTGTTTATATTTTAAAATGTAGTTTTACCTATTGTTTGGATTATGAGAGAAAATAAGTAAATAAAAAACAAGAGGAAAGAAACTGAAAAAAGAGAAAATGGAGAGAAAAATATTGTTGTTTGAATAGAAAGAAAAAATGTGAAAATTAAAAGAAAATATGATAAAAGAAGAGTAAAAAATAGAAAAGAGATATGGATAGTAATTCTATGCCTTTTCTGATCATGGGAGGTGAGAAAAGTTTTTAAGTGGACTTCCCCCTTTTTTTTCATTTCTCAACATTTTCATTCTTATCCAAACGAAAGAAAATACTCCGTACAATAAAATATGTATTTTCTCACTTTCAATTTTGTTTCTCTATCTCCTTATCCACACACCCAAACAAAGACTTAGAGTATACTTACTCCGTTCCTAAAAACTCTTAATGTTTTGACTTTTTTGGGTCAAATTGTGATACTCTTTGAACATAAATTAAAGATAATATAAATAAATAAATGATATAAAAATTTGATATATCAAAACTATATCTTAGATGAACCCAATTATTTTAAATTTATACTATAATTAAATATACTTTTTCCATAATTTATGATCAAAATATGTCACTGTTTAACAAAAGAAAGTCAAAATAAAAAATGTTTTTTAATCCGGAGAAAGTATATGTTTTGTATTTATCATTTTAAACTTTTTTCACATTTTAAGACCAAATTTACTTTAGTGGTCCAATCTCGCTGGAATGGCCATTTAAGGCCCTTATATTGGTCTGTTCGTCCAAATTCCAAAAGGCTGTAAAGCCCATTCTAAAAGTAATTATCGATTTTACCCGTTTTAATTCATCTTAATTACCCAAGAACCTAAAAGTCTTCCGTCCCCTCCTCCGGCGGGCGTCTCTCCACTCCACCACCGTAGCGACCGGCGGCATCCACCGTCGTCTTCACTGAGAGCGGAATAAAAGCACGGGATTGAAGAAACCAAATTGCTTGGGCCCGAATGGTTTTGTTCTGAATCTCTCCATACTGCTGATTTCTTGGTTTTCCCTAATCATTGAAGTAGCTTCATTTGATCTTGTTCAGTTCTGTGCTCAATTTTGCGCTGGTCTCTGATTGGCCGAGTAGAGAATCCATGCGCATTGCGAGGCATTTCTGCAGGAAACCAACTTCCCCTGCAAATCGTCTCTGTTGCAGCAACACGTCTACTTTATCCGCCGTTGAAGAAGAGCCGCTTGGCCATTCCCCATACCTCGATCCTTCTCCTCCTGTAGAAAGCAAATGCGATTCTTTGCTTCAATTATGCCTCAGACAGTGCAAGAAAATCAATACCCGGCACCTGTTCGATGAAACGCCTCAGCGGCTTGAAGCCAGGAGAATCTGCAAGGTCATCCACGGGCATAGCTTGAGGCTCGGAGTAGGGACAAAAGGGTCTCTAGGAAATGCCATCCTTGACCTGTATGCCAAGTGCGGCGATGTGGGCTTTGCCGAGAATGCTTTTGGCGAGCTTGAGGAGAGAGATGTCCAGGCTTGGAACTCAGTTCTTTCAATGTACTCGAAGCAGGGAGATTTTGGTCGTGTGATTAGGCTCTTAGGCTTGATTCGGAAGGATGAGGTATTGCCGAATGAGTTCACCTATGCCCTTGTTTTTTCAGCGTGTGCGAAAATGACGAATGTGAGCTTCGGGAGGCAAGCACATTGTGATCTGATCAAACTTGGGTGGGAAAGGAGCAGTTTTTGTGAAGGTTCTCTTATTGATATGTATGCCAAATGCGAAATTGTGGCAGATGCTAGGCGGGTTTTTGATGGAGCTGTAGAGCCAGACATGGTTTCTTGGACAGCCATGATTGCTGGATATGTTCAAGTGCGATTGCTAGAAGAAGGGATTAAACTGTATGACAAGATGCTCCAATTTGGTGTTGTTCCTGACCAAGTGACCTCCATCACCATAATCAATGCATATTCTCGTCTAGGAAGGCTAAATGAGGCACATGAGTTTTTCTCTAAAATTCCAAGGCCCAATGTTGTGGCATGGAATGTGATGATCTCTGGTCATGCCAAGAAAGGTTTGGAATTGGATGCTCTACACATGTTTGCTAATATGAGGAAGTCGGGCATAAAACCAACAAGGTCCACACTCGGCAGTGTGCTTAGTGCCATTGCTGGTCTCGGAGCTCTTGAATTCGGCTCTCTAGTCCATGCAGAGGCAATCAAATTGGGGTTGACAGATAATGTTTATGTAGGAAGTTCCTTGGTTAATTTCTATGCCAAGTGTGAGGAAGTGGCATCTGCTAAGAAGATTTTCGATGCACTAGACGAGAAAAATACCATTTTATGGAACTCAATGCTCGGAGGTTATTGCCAGAATGGATATCCTGATGAGGTGATCAAACTGCTTAAAGTGATGGAACAGTGTGGGTTTCAACCCGATGAATATACGTACACCAGCATTTTGAGTGCGCTTGCCAGCTTGGAATCCTTAGAAGCAGGTCGCCAGTTGCATTGCCTTATTATAAAGAAGGATCTTGTGGCAAACCTGTGCATTGGAAATGCATTGGTAGATATGTATGCGAAGTGTGGGGCTCTCACGGACTCAAGCAAGCAATTTGAACAATTGAAAATTCGGGACAATGTATCATGGAATGCAATAATAGCTGGATATGCCCAGAAGGGAGAAGAGGGCAAAGCATTAGATATGTTCAGGCAAATGAATTCTTCTGGTGTCTTCCCCAATGAGGTTGCTTTGTCCAGCATTTTGAGTGCATGTGCTAGCATTCTAGCGCTTGAACAAGGAGAGCAGTTCCACTGCATGGCTGTCAAGTTGGGTCTTGAGACGAGCCTCTACACTGCGAGCTCTCTCATAGATATGTACTCAAAATGTGGAGATATCAGGGCAGCCCGTGATGTTCTCTCACAAATGCCCTGTCCCAGTGTGGTTTCACTAAATGCTATGATTGCTGGGTACGCTAAAAATGATTTGGGGGAAGCAATTAATTTAACCAATGAGATGAGAGTGATAGGGTTGAAGCCATCAACCATTACATTTGCAAGCCTTTTGGACGCTTGTGATGATCCTCAAAGAGCATGCCTAGGAAAGCAAATCCACTGTCTTGTACTGAAGAATGGTCTTCGGTGTTATGAGGACCTCCTGGGTATTTCTCTCATAGGAATGTATATGAACGTTCGGGAGAAAGCAGATGCCCGTAGACTTTTCTTAGAGTTTCCCAGTCCAAAAAGCAAAATATTATGGACTGCTCTGATCTCGGGATATAATCATATCGACTGCAATACAGAGGCTCTGCAATGTTTCCAGGAAATGAGAAATTCCAATGTGATGCCAGATCAAGCCACATTTGCTAGCATTCTAAAGGCAAGCGCAGTCTCCTCTTCGTTGCCGGATGGAAGAAAAATCCATTCACTTGTTTTTCGCACAGGCTTCGATTCAGATGAGCTTATCAGTGCTGCTCTAATAGACATGTATGCAAAGTGTGGGGAGGTCTACAGTTCTGTTCAAGTCTTCAACAACATGGTCACAAAAAACGATGTAGTGTCGTGGAATTCTATGATTGTTGGGCTTGCCAAGAATGGTTTTGCTGGAGAAGCCCTAAAGATTTTCAGTGAGATGAAGCAATTGGGAGGTTCATGTTTTCCGGATGATGTCACGTTCCTCGGCATTCTCACAGCTTGTAGTCATGCAGGCTGGGTGTCAAAGGGCCGTGAAGTGTATCACGAGATGGTGAATCACTACAACATTAAACCAAGAGCTGATCACTGCGCTTGTATGGTTGACCTTTACGGGCGCTGGGGGTATCTACAAGAAGCTGAGCTCTTCATTGACCAATTAAAATTCAAACCTGATCCAAAGGTGTGGGCCACATTGCTTGGGGCTTGCAGGTTACATGGAGATGAAACTAGAGGAAAACGTGCTGCGGAGAAGCTCATACAATCAGAACCTCATAACTCTGCCCCATATGTTCTCCTCTCAAACATATATGCCGCGTCTGGGAATTGGCGGGAAGTTAACTCATTGAGGAGGGAGATGCGAGAGAAGGGAGTGAAGAAATTGCCAGGCTGCAGTTGGATCGTCGTGGGAGAAGAGTCAAACCTGTTTATTGCAGGGGATGAGGCCCATCCTCGTGCTCGTGATATTCGTTCTATACTAAAAGACTTGATGATTCAAATGAAGGACAATGTTAATTGGGACCCTGATATTATAATGCTCTGTGATACATAGTGAGGACTGAGGTAGAAGTTACTGGGTTTTGGGAGCAATTGGTTTGTACAACACAAAGAACAATTCTTTTCTTCTATTGGGAGTTGTGATATCGTGATGAGGCTGCACGCAAAGACGGAGGGCTAAATGGTGACTAAATCTTGGGACCCATTTGTTGTCAAATATTTTTGCTGCCTATAGCCAGGGGAAAAGAACAAGCCATAAAGTGTACTGGACCCAAAATGAGGAACCGTATATCCTTAGAAGACGTCGTTGACCCCGGTGAGTAGTGCCCGTTGCTAACTAGAACTTTTAGGACGTTGCGGATTTAAGAGGTTCCAATAGATCTGAGTGTTGGGCTTGTAAATTGAAGGACCAGATGCCCTTCGTGGAGATCCCCAACGTCCTCAAAGAAAAAAAGAATTTCGATGAGGGTGATTTTGACAGAAGGGGTCTGACCGAACCCTCGAATCGATTGGAACCTCTTAAATACAATACTTAGAGTCATTTGTTATTAAAAAAAGAATTATTAAAACATTTTTGTTTTCAAAACACACTTGCATTGTCACACTTTACTACACTCCCTCTCATATGTAGGTGGATCTCTACCAGATAGAGATCCCTCACATGTGAGAGGGAAGTGACAAAGCGAATGAGTACATTTTTTTATTAAAAAAAAGTTCATACTTAAATGTACAGAAAGCCAGACATCGAAGAAGCATGAGCAACCTTTCACCACAGTTTGAGTGCAACACATGAATGTCATGTTGAGTCAAAGAATTGAACTTTCCCATCTTTGGGCTCTCACTTTAATGTGCACACATTAAAAAAAGAACCTAAACAATGAGAGATACATATAACAGAAAAAACAAACAAACAAACTCAAAACAACCTTACTAGCTCATCCCACACAATGCTAACACCGCTATTTATATTTATTATATATGAAGAAATATATGAACATATTTTTTTTGTTGCACCGCTTTGGGATAATACTAAGATCTATAAAGCCTATTCACTACATAACCTGTGAAACTTGTTGCTAGATACACAATAATATCAAATGATGAAAACATCTCCGAAAGATGGAGACCATCCTCCTTTCAATGTATGCATTAAGACTATATCATCGTCTTCGTGCGAGAGGTTGTCTCAAGAAATGAAATCCAATGCAGCAACTTCTGGTAGCAATGGAGAAGTCAAGACCAAGGGAAGAAGTCTTGGCAGCCTCTTTCCTCACTTTGACCTATTCCTCACCCGCCAAGTAAGATAGACCTTTGATTCAAACTAGTGCTTGTGTCCCATAAAAATTTTCTATATTTAAGAAAAGCAAATAAAAGCATGGTTGAAATTTTCTGAGCCATATATTCTTTTTCTTATAATGAAAACGAATTTTTTTTACTGGCAAAAAAGGAAAGAATAAATTTTGTTGTACGACAGGAGTATATATCAAGACTTCAATTGATATACTTTGAAAGGAGCAGCTTGATAGTTGGAGAAGTCCACAATCTTATATGCTCATTTGTATTTTTATATTTAGCTGATATGAGATGACTAAACCTAGACCGGACTGGCCAATCGGACCAGTCGAATTGGACACCAAACCGGTCCGGTCCGAATCTGCAAAACCCAGAAAATCGTTTTGACACGGGAAAACCAGAAAATCATTTTGACGTGGGAAAACCCGGGACTCGGTGGGCATGTCGGTTTTCTGGCCAGTCTGGGTTAATAACATTGGGAACGATGCAACTGTCCATTCTTAACAAAGATGGTGACAAAAAAAAGTTTGTTCAGATAATCAGATTATGGATTTACATTACATATTATTGTGTTGAGGTGCAGATTATGGGAGAAGCATTGGGGACATACATGATAGTGTTTTGTATATGTGGGATAATATCAAACTTGCAGCTGATGGGAATTCAAGTAGGGTTGCTGGAATATGCAACTACTGCTAGTTTGACTGTGGTTGTTGCAGTTTTCTCTATTGGGCCTATCTCTGGAGCTCACCTCAATCCTGCTGTAACACTAGCATTCGCAATAATTGGCCCTTTTCCTTGGCCCAAGGTAATTTACTTTAACATCTTGTTGTGAAGCCATGTTTTTTTGTGAGATTTTACTAAGTTTGTGGTTGTTGTTGTATCCTGTTGGGGTGCAAACCCAAATCCCACATTAGAGGGTTTGGAGAACTAAGTGAGTGTTTCTCTGTGCTTATAAGCTAGTCAAAACTGCTTATAAGTAGTTTTTACCTTATAAGTCAGTTGATGCCATGTTTTTCTGTGTTCATAAGTTGATTTAAAAGTTGCTTATAAGCTAGAAAAAATAAGTTGGTTTTACCTACTTACTTTTAAGCCAGTTTTTTTGTTTCTCGATTTTGACCAGATTATTTACAAAACTGTCCCTCACCATTTATGAATATTTCCAAATGAATTATCTATTATTTTAGTCATTTTACTTCCACGAAAGAATATTTGGCTTACAAGCAGCTTATAAGTTAAAAACTGTTTATCAACAATAAGCCAATAAGCACAAGCACAGAAAAACACTAAGAAGCATAGACGGTTTAAAAAGTCATTTTGCTTTATTCCATCTTACCCTTAAGCCAAAAAATACTGAATCTTTGACTCCATCTTATGTATCAATTGTGTTGGACTTGAAGGTGCCCTTTTACATTATGGCTCAATTGGGAGGCTCTGTGTTGGCCACAGTATCAGGAAGATGGGTATATGGGGTTGGATATGAGCATATGATGACAAAACCACTGCATGGATGCAATGGAGCATTTTGGGTGGAGTTCATGGCAACCTTCATGATTCTCTTTGTGGCTTCTTCTCTATCTAATGACCCTCAATTTGTAAGTCACTCCCTCTATTCAAAGTCCATTTTGATTTAATTTGTGAATTTAAAATTAAAAAAACAATATGTGCACTACTTATAAAAACATTCTTTCTACACACTTCCCTGTCTAGTTTTAACTAAAATATGTTAACTGGTCTGGAGTCTAAGGTCTGGGTAATTGGAATATAAATTTGAAAAGAACCAGTTAGGCGACTTGGTGGAATGTGGAAATTTAGGAACGAACTGGCTTTGAATATACCAAGCATTTGGAGTTTTTGTGCCATTTACCCGTGAATTTTTTAAAAATTGTGTGGATTCATCCCGAACTTTAAAATTGGCACCAATGTCCCCTGAATTTTTTAAAATATTGCACCAACGGTCCCTTTGTGCTAGATTTGTGAGTGCGTTTATCACACGCTCATCAATATACGTGTTGGAGCTTAATGAAGATGTCATGGATTGATGAAGAGGTTGTTCGATTGATGATGAGCTTTATCAACTGATGCTTGATCTTCAAATTCGGTTACTGTTGACTAAATCGAGAATAGTTTTCTAGGGTTTGAAGAGGTTAAAGTATAAAGAATAATGTTTGGGAAGAACATATTGTAAAACTTACTTGTGATATACTCCCTCTGTCCACCATAGATCTTACCAGACACTATTCACAGGGTCAAACTTAATTCACTTTGTTTATTTTTACTACTCATTTCATAAAATAATATAGTGTTGTCACCTCTAGTTTTTTAGAACTTTTCATGTAGTTTATTACTATATGGATTTTATATTAAAATTTTATCCCCATATTCAAATAAATTGAATTGAAAATAAAGTCGGTCAAGCCTCGTAACGCGCAATGGGAAGATCTTAGGTGGACGGAGGGAGTATGATTTTAGATGAACTCATACTTGCAGTGAATGAGCTTACGATTAGCGCACTCTCAAATCTAGCACAGAGGGACTATTAATGCAATATTTTTAAAAGTTTAGGGGGCAATAGTGTAATTTTTAAAATTTAGGGAGAATTCGTGCAATTTTTTTTAAAAGTTAAGGGGTAAATGGTGCAAAAAACTCCAAACATTTATATTCAATTATATTTTTAGAATACAAATTTGAATATGAATATCAAGCGAAATTTAAATGAAACTTAATTTGTATTTGATTAATTATTCGAATAGTTAATGAATTGTAAACTTATTCTTATTTGTATGAGTATTCAATTGGTATTAGTCATACTTTAAACGATGGACAAATATCAATTTTGACGCTTATACTTACGTTATTTTTTAACTACTCCGGTTGGAAAAAATGAAGAAGCTCAGCAAAACGAAACAAAATTTCATCTTTTCTTAATTTGTTTTATTTAAAGATTGATATAGAAATAAAAAAATAAAACTTACATATTTAAAGATTACGTCAAAAATTCTACAAAATAAGATGTGACAAAAATATTTAATGTTATCGAAAAATGAATGAAAAAGCACAAATAAACAATTTGTTTTTTTTGTGATATTGTACAATTCTTTTCAGGACGAAAGAAGTATAAATATGTATGAAATGCTAACAATGAAAACTATATTTTTCAGGCAGGGAAATTGGGAGGATTTATTGTTGGAGTATCCATCGGTCTGGGAGTGCTAATCACTGGGTAATAAAATAAACTTCTCCGTTCCTTCTTCTTCTTTTTGACTTATCATTGTTTGCCGTTTGAACATGTTAAGTTAAGTAAGGGCTGTAAAGCAACCACTAATCATAATTTTGATTTGTTACATGTGATGATTTTCCAGCTGTCATGGTTTGCCCTTTAGAATATGGTTAAAGTTGTTTTGACATTAAAACCTAATGTCATAATGTTGCATGAATACATACTTAAGATATCTCCTTCGTAAAATTTATGATCCTACCCTTCTGCCCCTGCTCTTCGATCGCCGATCTGGCTGTGCCAAATTCACAAATAAGGGGACAGAATAGAGGCAGAAGCATTGTATGTGTCCAGTGTCATATTATGACATTAACGTTCAATGTTAAAAGAACCTTAGAGATATAGCAAGTGTTTTTTTATGCTGATGTCTATTGACTTATTGTTGATAATCAGTTTTCAACAATTAAACTGCTTAAAAGTTAGATATTCTTTTTTCAAAATAAGATGACTTAAATGATAAATACGTCATTTGGGAAGCTTCATAAATGGCGATGAATAGTTTTGTAAATAATCTGGTTAAAACGGAGTTTCCGAAAAATTAGCTTAAAAATAAGTACCTTAATCCTACTTTTGTTTAGCTTATAACTAACTTATAAATCAGCTTATAAACACAAAAATATATGTCATGACTGACATATAAATTAAAACAGTGTATAAGTAGTTTTGATTGACTTATCAGCATAGCGAAGTACTCCAATAAAAAATCATATTAATTGCAGGCCAGTTTCGGGCGGGTCAATGAACCCGGCAAGATCATTAGGGCCAGCAATTGCTTCGTGGAGTTTCGATAAGGATTTGTGGGTTTACGTCGTCGCTCCGACGGGCGGCGCCGTCGCCGGCGTTTCCTTTTACCGGCTCGTGCGACTCCAAGGCTGGTCTTGCTTGCCTCCACCTCCTCCTGCCACTGCTGCTCATACTTAAACTTAATTCCGCTATTTCCGAACACTCCATTTCTATTAATTCATTAATTACTCCGTATCTAATTACATTACTGGCGGGAAATTACATACTTTGTCGTGCAATAAGATCAATCATATCCGAGTATTAATTTTCTTTTAATATATTACTCCGTATTATTCTGTGTTTCGATTGGCTTTACAATTTTATTTTTTCGATTTTATTTTTCTCTAGACACATTATCTATATTGTTAATCGTAAATAAAATTCACATCCCATATCAATATTATAGAGTAATTTTATAAAACTTTTTTTTGCAGGATATATGTAATGAAATTATTATTATTAAACTAGTATAGAATACATTTTTTTAGGCAAAAAATTATATTTTGTGACGGGTTATAATATTCTAATTGGGATATGATATTTTATTGAAATTTGTTGAGTGTGGATTGATGGGCCAGGTGGTGCTTAATTCAGGGGGCGGGCAGTTTGCCCAAACCATGGGTCGCGGCGTCGTGTTACTGCGTTCTACGGCACCAATTTTGGGAAATATTATCCTGTTTTCTTTTTTTGAAAGGAATAAGATATACGCATACTCCGTATCACCCAAATTTTTATGATGACAACGCCTCACCCGTTCATTATTAAATTCTTATATGGCATCTCTCATAATTAAAATCTCAATTTTTTACTCGCTCCGTCCATAAATAAACTTTTTGTTCACTATTCACATGGTTAAACTATAATTACTATTTAGCCTATTTTCGCCACTCATTTAATAAAATAATATAGTCATGTCACATTTAGTTTTGTAGATCTTTTAATATGATTTTTTAATATGTCATTTTTATTTTTAAATTTTACATCATTTTTCATATAAAATGACTTGAAAATAACTCCAGTCAAATATCGTAACGCGCAACGAGAAGTTTATTTGTGGACGGAGGGAGTATTTGAAAAAAATGATTAGTCCATCCCCGAGGGCCCTTCAGACGGAGTCAGACGTTCACTAGAAGAAGATAAATTAGATATCGATAGTAAAATGATGGCAAAGATTGAAGCATGTATCTGCTACTGCCATCCTTTTATAATAAGTATCACCCTAATTTTAGCTCGCACATCTTCATTCCTTATTTTATCAATACGTGTTTGACCGCTCCTTTTACTAACTTTGTGTTCATGTTTATTTTTTGTTGCTTAACAATTTGTTCCATACAACATAGTTAGTCTGATTAATCACAATACAATAAAAAATATCTTTTAGCTCAATGAAAAAGTAGAGAAATAAAGTTGTGGACTATATAATAAGGATTCAGCTATGTGTACCCCAAGATTTGTACTTCAATTTGTGTCACGGAGGTTTACACCTTCATTTTGTGTCAGCGTAATGCTATGATGATAGTTCACACAGACACAAAATGTTAGTGCAAATTTTCATTAACGCATCAGCATTTTGTGTCAGTGTAAATAGTAAAAATATTAGTGTATACCTTTATTGCAACTTTGGAGTATAACTTTTGGTGTAAGTGTAGCATGATCCATATAATAAAAAGAAAAATTTGTAGGGTGAAATGGGTTTTCCTTTTTTGCAAAGTTACTGTTGATCGCAGAAGAACCAGAGCACAAAATGGGAGAAAAGTCGCAGAGGAAAAAAACAAAAAAAAAAAAAATACTCCGTATTTGGAAGAGGGAAAAAATATTTATAAAAATGATAAAAATGCATACATAAATACGGAGTAAAATATATTGGAAAATATAAATGGTAAAAAAGCACAACTGATTTGTGAAGAAGGGAATACTCTCACTCCTAGACAAATTTTGGTGTTAACTTTATAGAACTGTAAAAAACATTGGAGAATAAAAAGTAAATAATTAGAATCTAATTAGAAAAAAAATGTACTCCATATTAACTACATACGGAATATTTTATTTCAAAATAAAAAAACAAATATTGGTTTTTTTGTAAGAAGATTAAAAAAGGATAAATTTAAAAAAAAAAATTCAAATTTATTTTGTGCAAAGTTGAAGACAAAAACTTCACATGTGGCGCCCAAGCTTTATTTTACAAAAATAAAATGTGCATGTGAAATTACAAGTATAGCCTCACACTTTGTCCCCATATAAATTAATCACTCACCTTCCTCAATTTCTCCCCCGTCTCCATAATTCTAGAGAGAGAAGGAGCATGCGACGGTGATTTAAGTGTCATTATTATTATTAGTGTCAATTAATCAATTAATTTTAGAGAGAGAAAATGTTAGGTGTGTTCAGCAGATCGGTGGTTGCTCCGCCGGAGGAGCTGGTGGCAGCCGGTTGCCGGACGCCGTCACCGAAGACCACAGCCGACGCTCTGGTAAAGCTCTTCCTCAAGACCAAACCGTCGGCGGTTTCCGTCCAGATCGGCGACGATGCGCAGTTCGCTTACTCTCACTCCAACCAGTCCGCTTTGCAGCCCAGGTACCACATACAGATCCAAGCTTAGGGGCGAAAAATTTACTTGAAATTACTCGGATTTATGTTTGATTTGAGCTTAGATTTACATACCCAATATACTAAGAAGTACTCGCAAATTGCAATTGAATCATATGCCGTGAATATATTGAACCAATTCAACCGAGAGAAAAAAAATCTGCAATTATTACTCATATATGGTGACCAAAATGAATGAATGAATGGATGAATACCAGACTTTTTGCGGTGAAAGATGAAGTGTTTTGCTTGTTTGCGGGATCACTTACCAATCTGGGGAGTTTGAGGCAACAATACGGGCTCGGAAAGCCAGCGAATGAGGTGGTTTTGGTCATCGAAGCCTACAAGGCCCTTCGAGACAGGGCGCCTTACCCTGCAAACCATGTCGTAGGGCACCTTGAGGGCAACTTTGCCTTCATAGTTTTCGACAAGTCCACCTCCTCTCTGTTCGTCGCAACCGTAAGTGCCTATAGATTTTGATTGAGTTGGTTTCTGGACGCATTTGCCCTTGCAAAAGCTGGAGATATTATAATTGGGGCTGTTTGTTGTAATGTGTAGGACCAATTTGGGAAGGTGCCTCTCTATTGGGGGATCACTGCCGACGGGTGTGTGGCGTTTGCGGACGATGCCGACCTTCTCAAGACCGCTTGCGGGAAGTCACTCGCTTCTTTCCCCCAAGGTGGTGGCTCTATATGCACTCTTAAAATCATACTCCGTATGAATTATTATATCGTGTAAAATTGTGAGATTTTATCACAAAATCAATTGGCAATGAGAGTATTAATTTGCAGGTTTTCACCCATTAGTTTGAACTTTTAGTTGAATTGGTGAAGTACCTATATATGTTTCTTGATGCATGTGGTAATTTGATTGAATTGTTGATGAATTTTGTAGGGTGCTTCTTCTCCACAGCAGTTGGAGAACTGAAATGCTATGAAAATCCCAAGAGCAAGATCACTGCTATTCCAGCTCCAGAAGAAGAAATTTGGGGAGCCAAGTTTATGGTAAGACTATGATATATAATTAGAAACTTGCTTTGGTTTTGGTATTACTCATTTGCATAAAATTTTTTAGTCAATTAAAGAAAAATATCTAAAAAATGAGAGAATTGAATTGGAACCCTTGGAAATGAGATTTTGAATGATACATTGGCTAATGTTTTTCATTTCAATTAATGTACCTACTATGGTTGTGTTAAGTAGTTAGGTACCCCTCTCTTCATCCCCAAATTAAATTCATTGTTTGATTTCAGGGAGTTTAGGAAAAAGTATTGAAAAATAAAAAAAAAAGTGTCAAAAGTTGCCTTTCAAGTTCATGAACCAAATATAAGTCCCAAATTTGATCACTCGCTTTTTAAATTTATAAAATTGTTTAGAAATCTATAAACTTTATTTTGGGAGGATGGATAAATGCAAGGACTATAGTAGTGGCAGTGGGTGGGGGCCAAGATAATGAAAAGTGACAATGGACAAAGTGACCATTTTGTACAAATTTTGCTATCAAAGTGAGAGAGACATGATGAATCAATCAGTTAAGAGACACACCTCACAAGGTGATATGATTTCAGATCTTTGGCCATAAAGTGGATCAAATCACCCACACACTCTTATCCCTTCCACTATACCCCACATGTCATCCAAATAATTTATTTCTGGGATGAAGAGAATATTTTATTAGAAAGGGCTATAGTCACACCAACTATGACACTAAGCAGTTCTTTGCGTACACAGTTAGTCTCTGTGAGACACCATGGTGTCATATCTAGCTAGTGTCATCCTTGGTGTGCATATAGCACGACTCGTCCACTCTACTATATTTCCCCTCTTTCTCTCATTAATTAGAAACATGTCCTAAGCTCAAGCAAGAGTAAAGACTTAGCCATGTTTTTTTGACTTCTAATCCTTGTTGTCTAGATTTCAAATTCTAATTTTGAAGTTCTATGTGGGAGTCTTCATACTAATATTGCTCTAGATAACATTATTGAAAAAATGATACTATAATCATGTCACCTCTAGTTTTGTAGATCTTTTGATATAGTTTTTTAATATGTAATTTTTATTTTTAAATTTTACACTATTTTTCATATAAAATGATTTAAAAATAACTTCAGTCAAACATCATAACGCGCAACGAGAAGTTTATTTGTGGTCCGAGGGATTATGTTATTTTATTTTAATTTGACTATTGTGATTGCAGGTGGAGGGAGGGGCAGGTGTTGTTGCAGCCACAAAATAGAGATGTGTCTCTACAAGTGATGTGAGGTATAGAAGAAGATGTGTTGTGTGTGTGTATATACATATACATACATATATATATATATATATATATATATATATATATATATATATATATATATATAGACACACACAGATATGTGTGTGTAACTGTGTATGTATATGTATTATATATATGTATATGAGAGGATCGTTAATCGAAGTCATGTTGTGTTTGTATATTACTTGTACTATATAGTGCTTAAGGAGCTGTTTATATTTGGAGGTTTGTTTGGTTGGTTGTTTCACCTTCGCCGTTGTAAAGAACTAAAGATGGGCTATATGTGTATTGCTCTCTTCTTGTTCACTCCAATAATAAAATCTTTACCATGGTGTTAACTTTTAAATAGACTGATTTTTTATTCCAATCTTTTTTCTTCTACATAATGTTTTTTGTGTGTATTCCAACCTTTTAATCCTAACGGTCAAATTGACCGAATGTACCCAATGAGTACATTGACACTAATTTTATGGACGTGTAGTATATTTCAAATAATGTAGGATTTGAGGGCTCTTACCAGAAAGTCAAGATTATCTTGGAGTATATTTCAGATAATATGAGACGTGGAAGCCATTGCCAAAAAATTGAAGATACCTCAAAATAATTTTCTATAAAAAATATAGTGGGGAAGGGAGTAGTGTACAACTTGGTGTATGCCAGATCTCAAAATTACTTCTTCTCTTTAATTTTAAGTTGCATGTTGTTTACTCCGCATATCATTTGACTGAAATTATTTTCAAATTAATTTATATAAAATTTGAAGTAGAATTAAAAACTAAAATTTATATTTTAAAAAAACTACATCAAAAATCTATAAAATAAGTAGTAAGATGACTATATTATTTTATAAACGAATAATAAAAATAAGAAAAAATTCGATTAAAATTTGATTGTGTAGAGAGTAGAGACAACTTAAATGGGTATTGAGATCCGCCCAAAAACCTCTCAAAGAGTCGAAAGACCAAGACAAGCGCACAGAAGAGGGAGGGCGAAGAAGAAGCTATGAAGGAGACGGCGAAGATGAACGCCATGAGATCTGGTTTGGTTGTGATCGGAGCTTTAGCCTTCGGATACTTGACTCTGCAACTCGGTCTCAAGCCCTTCCTCCAGAGAGCAGAGGCCCAGCAACAGAAACTCTTCTTCTCCGACGACGATTCCTCAAACTCCGACCGATCAACGCCGTAAGCTGTGTTTCCCCATTTCCCCGCTCCTCCAAAACTCCATTAATGTACCCGAATGCTCATAACAATTTTGATTTTTCCTGCCTTTCTTTCACATTTTGAATCGCTTCTTTCTGTGTTCTTCTAGATCTGATGCTGTGATTCGATAGCGGTTGTTGATTCATTTTGGATTGAATTTTGATTTCTTGATTGAATTTGGAGACTAATGTCAAGCGTTTAGAAGGTGATTGGGCATTAATTGACCCGAATCCGTCGTGACTAGGGTTGAGATGATTTAAACAATTCGATTGGTCGGTCGGATTTGGATTCGATCCATTCAGATCAGGTTATTTTGAGTTCGAAAAAAGTTCAGATCAAGATAAGAACGGCATGTTTATGATTCAGTATATTGGATTTGGGTCGATACAACAAGTTATGACCTGTATTTATATTTTTAAATGTTAAGTACTTCGTATTTCGTATTTTTTATGATCCGGTGTCAATGTTACAAATAAAAAAACTAAATATGTAGAAATTTTGTGAAAAAGTAAAATAATTATGTGATATCTTTATAATGTTGAATGAGATTATAAATTTATGTATTAAAAACGAATAGTAAGAAAAGAAATATAATTATAATCGTATTTTCATAATTTTATTTTTTATAATAAAGTATATGATTTTAAAAATTTTTTACATTATGGATCGGTCAGGTCAAGTTAAGGTCCGATCATGATAAAATTTAGGATGAGGTAAGGATAACTGGATTGGGCAATAAGACACTTGGGCTGAACCACATTAAAAGATTGAATCCAATCGATTATTAGTTCAACTCAAGAGTTTATATACCGATTAATTTCCCCACACTTTTCCGATGTGGGATGCTCTTTTAACACCCCCCTCAAGTCGACAACCGGACTTTTTTGAATCTAACCGGGTGACCACTTGCAAATAAACTCTCATTCCCTTATTTTTTTTGAGCGCCAACACCTAAAGGACAACGAGCCGCTGGGTATGGACTTTCAGACATGCAATCGTGTTAAACGGACCACAGGCCGTTGGATACATACTCCATACGGACAACTAGGCTAAAGACTAACGGGCCGCTAGGTATGAACGTCTAGACGGACACTTTGGCAAACGAGGTAGGCCAAAACCTGCTCTGATACCATGATAGAATTTAGGATGAGTATGGATAACTGTATTGGGCTAAAACTGGCTCTGATACCATGATAAAATTTAGGATGAGATAAGAATAACTAGATTGGACAATAAAACACTTGGGCTGAACCACATTAAAAGATTGAATCCAATCGATTATTTAGCTCAACAAACTGAATAGATAAATTCTCATGTGCTCCTTAGATTGACATTCATTTTATAGACTTTAATATGTAAACAATGAAAGAATTGGACATTCTATGTATAAGAATTTTATTTACTTATAAGTTCACGAGAAATGTGATAAGATTGATGTTTCTATATGGATCATATGACCATTGAAGCACAACTCCTCCGTATATTATAATTTCTTCAACAATCTATCTCTCCTTCATTGAATCCACGTTTGAGTCACATGATATTTTATTAGAATATTTTATTGAATTTAGTTTTATTTCCTTGTACATATGTATTTCCTAGTTAAGATTTGTAACTTATGTACAATACATATGGTTTGATGGTTCAATCCGAAGGCAAACAATTAAGTTCCAAAAATTCTGCATGGTATTAACACTATGTTTGGTTCAAGGAATTTGAAAGGGAAAAGAAAAGAAAACGAAGTAGAAACTAATTTTTCTTGTTTGGTTAGAGGGAAAAAGAAAGGAAAAGTGGAAGGAAAAGAAAATGAGAAAGACAAAATGAACTAAAGGGAGGGAAAACCAAATTCCTCCCATTTTGGTGAGGAAAATGAGAGAAAATAATTTTCTTTTCTTTTCCTCCCAAATTCTTTAAACCAAACATAGTGTAAAGCGTATTTTGAGGGAAAGTCATGAACCCTAGGAGTGTCTCTCAGCTCGTTCGTCCGTCAATCGTCATCGGTGTGTTAGTCATGCATCCGAGTGTTTTGTTCGTCAATGTCATTGCGCCAGTCATACGTTCTAATCAGCCGCTAGTTCTTGTCAGGTTATTGTCTCTATCCGTCGTCCACCATGTCTGCCAATGCAAGAAGACATGCAAACATTGTTCACGATCCATCCACAATCTACTATTTACACCCGTCTGAAGGTCTTGTTAATTCTCTAACCAAATACTGTATTCGTTTTGGTAATTATGAAGTTGGGGTAAAAGCGATTCACATCGCCTTTGGATGGCAAGGTAAGGTCAAATTCCTCACGTTCACGAGAGTACCCAAACCCTAGGACGAACAAGTCATCTGTAGTTGGATCTGCAATAGCTTGGATGAGTTTATTCAAAGGAGTGTTAAATCGCATACTCTTGCTTTTAAGTTATGGGATGATCTCAAGAAAAGGTATGGAGGCTAGGTTCGAATGGCCCACAAATTTACCCGTTAAAGTTTGAGTTGAACACTTTAAGTCAGAAAAGGTCAAAGTGTTTGTGTATTATAGTCAGTTTATTACACTTTGGAATCAACTTTATGGTTGTGATGGTCCAACTGGTGGGTGCACGCATGCAACGGCTTGCATTAGCCGCACACATGTGGAATGTGAGAAAACCTTAGATTTCTTGATGGGTCTTGATGAACAATTTCGTGGTCAGATTATTGGTGTAAAACTCATTCTAGATTTGGATAGAGCTTTTTATTAGGTCACACAGGAAGAAAGGCACCGTACAAACATACGTACTCGTGATGACCGCATAGACGCAGTAGCCAGTAGCCTTCACAGCTAATACACGTCCTCCTACTCGAAGACTCTTTTGTTCTCAGCGTGGACACACAAACCACAATGTTGAAACTTGCTTTGAGATTATTGGCTTTCTAGAAGGTTTTGTCGTGGTAATGGGGTCGTGGAACAACGATGCGTGGTGGTAGGGCTGGGTCGGAAAAACCGAAAACCGAACCGAAATCGATCGAAACGAGCTAGAAAAAAAAACCAAACCGAAAAAACCGAATCCGAATGTAAAAAAACCGAACCGAACCGCTATTGTTTGGTTCCGTTTTGGTTTTTACTTTGAAAAACCGAACCGAACCGAATAAACCGAACTTATTTATATGCTTCTTTTTTATGTATATGAGTATATGTGATATGTATAAAAATCATACGGAGTATAAACAAACATGCAAATATATTACTAGTTGATTAAAGTTTTTTAATTAACTATTAATTAAACATTTTAACCATGTTATAAACTTTAAAAAGTCTAAGATATAAAACCAATAACTAATCCTAATATAGAATTATATAACATTAAAAATTAATATGAGTAGTTAACATATTTACATAAAAAAACTTTGATGTTATAATGTAAATAAAAGTATTATATAAAAAACATAAATTCTCTATAGTTGATTTTACATACGATATCTTTAGGACTATTTGGAATCTCTTAGATGTTTTTTAGGCACTTGACACATATTTTGTATGTAAAATTGAACCGAATAGAACACTAACCTTCCGTTCGGCATTTTTTTTGTGTAAAAATCAAGCAAAAAAACCAAACTCAAACTTACGTATTGTTATTGTTTCGTCGAGTTAGTATTTAGACAATTTTTAATGCTTATAAGTATTTACTTTTATAAACCGAAAAAACCGAAAAAAACCAAAATAAAAACCGCATAAAATCAAAATGAATAACCAACGGTTTACATATTTTTTATGCAAAACCGAACCGAACCAAACCGTCAATTTACCTTCCGTTTTGTCTTTGGTTTTGGGTAAAAACCGAACCGCCAAAACGGAACCAACCCCTACGTGGTGGTGGTGGAAGGTATGGTGGGATTGGTGGCTATGGTACCCAACCAGGGGAAGAGTTTTTCAATTTCTTTCAGTTTTTACAACTATTCTAATTTTTTTAATTTTTTTCTCCCAAATAATGACTTCAAATATAATATTCTTTTCATGTATTATTATTATTATTATTATTCTTATTATTATTATTATTATTATTATTTATAAATAATTTCAATTTTTTATTTTTATTTTTCTCATGTCACCATTTTTTATTTACACTTATTATTATTATTTTTCTTCTGTTTTATTATAAATAATATGTAGTACTATCTTATTGGGGAACTTTTAATTTACATGACACTAAATATGTTTTAAAAATTATGAATATTTTACTGCGTATTAATCTAAATTGACCTGGAAAAGTGCCAAAATTTTAAATTAAAAAATAATATCTCTGTCCCTAATTTAATAATTATAACAACAACAACTATATATAACAATTATAATAAGAATACTATGTAAAATATACATAAATATATTTTTGAAGTTTTTTCCAATTATTTCCATTTTCTTCTAGTGTTTTCCCATTTTTTTCCAGTTTCACACAGTTTTCTCTAATATCCAACTTTTTCTTTCCAGCTCTAAAACAGTGGAGCCACTTCAATTTGTTTTGAGACTTAGGTATGTTATTAGTCTTGAAATCTAAAAACATTGATTTTAATTTTGAAGTCTGAAATAAAAATATTTAGACATACAGATAGAGAAATATAATAGAGAAAAATTGAAGAACTTTGATAGGTACTGATGGGTGTATTTCACCCATGACCGGTCAAAAAGTGGAACCGGATAGTTGACCGGTCAAAGAGGTAAAACTTGAAAGAACGATTTGGATCGTCAGCAGAAGGATGACTGGTTGACCAAAAGGGTGACCGGTATACTTCGGGTAGTATACCGGTCAAACTATATCAGCATCTAATTCATCTTTTGGAGTTAGCAAATCAACCCACGAAGAACAACCGGTGGTGAGTGTCGGCAGGAAGGGTCCAAGAGGACTTGGACTGTAGTGGTTGGCGTGGTAAAGATACTGAAGGCATTTTTCCAAACTAGATCACGACAAAGGGAATAATCCCTCTCGCAAGGTGACAGGGCGGCTCGAGGATAAAGCTAGTCACCTCACACCACGCCAGCAACATGCCCCCACGTGGGCGCACGTGGTCCTGTCCCCCAAAACTTAGTATAAATACCTCTTGTAACCCTCGAAGAAGGGGATCCGAATTCACTCTCTCTAGACTCCCTTGCAAAAGTGACCGTGCATTCTCTATTTTAATATAATTCGGGCTACAGGTGTTCCACCTAAAGTCCTACCGGTCATTCTGAGTATTTTTACTTTCTTTACTTTTACTAAATCTAGCCAACTATTCTAGACCCGGTCTAGTATAGTTTGACCGGTCGAGTAATTTACACCATCATTTCTGGCGCCGACCGTGGGACCGTTAAGGTTTCTTCTCTTCTAAATACAAACCTACCCGCAAAAACACCACTCAAAATGTCTTCCAGCCAGCAAATCAACGCCACCTCTGCTCAGGTGCAAGCCACCACTGAAGGTGCCAACATCCCCATGGCTGTTACCCTGCCCACTGTTTCTGCTTCGGTTTTGCCATTGGGACTGGGCTCGGTTCCAACACCCAGCATGGTCAGCCCATTCACGGCCCCCGTCCCTTCCGCTGGGCCAAGGGTCACCTTTCCACCAAGCATGACCCAGTTCATGAATGACCCAGCCAACTTACAAGCCATCCAGGGCTTTGGCCAGGTCATGGCCATGTGCCAACAGAATGGGGGAATGCCTTTCCTCCCAAGCATGTTTCCATTCGCCCTTCCAGGTGCTGGAACGATGCCCCTTCAAGCTCCGATGGCAGTGACGCCATTCCAGACGCCGGTGCCGCAACCATCACCTTTCCAGCCGCAGCTGGTCAGCACCATGGCACCTGTCAACTTGACTGGTGCGCTCAACGCCGCAGGGCCATCGCGTCCCCCGCAAGGTGCGAATCCGTTAATCACTCCGGATGGACACTGCGTCTCAGTTGAAAGCGGAGACGACGAGTGGGACATTCCGAGGGCCCACAAGAAGAAGAAGGGAAAAACCATCTGACCCGCCACCTCCCGAAACTCCGCCTTCGAAAGACTGGGGGATAGGGAGGAGGGCCAGAGAAAATCAGCCAAGCTAAGGCTGGGGCAAAGCGTTGCCCGTGTCAGCGCTTTCGCCCGGTTAGGCGAGATGAGGGAGGCCGAGCCTGCCGGCACCTAACGCTCCCGGTCAAACCGGCAAGAGCCAGCCAGGACGAGGGCCTCTCGCCAGGAGGAGGAGGCAGAAAGCCAACCCAGGGTACCGGTGGCTAACCGGTTAACCACCCCCAATGATCGCGTCCAACAGGTGGAGGCAAAGCTGGAGAGGCTGGAGAAGAAGGTTGGGGAGAAGAATGACCGGGACAAACCCCTCGCGGGGTCTCCGTTCACTACAAGGGTCCATCTGACACCTTTCCCGCGAAAGGTTAAGATAGACGCCCCAAGGTTCACCGGTAAGGAGGACCCAGAAATCCACCTGGACTCCTTCAATCAGAGTGCAACCATGAACGGTTGCACAGATGAAGAAAAGTGCCTCTTTTTCTTCCAGACCTTGCGGAATCGAGCCACCGAGTGGTTCAACAAGCTTCGCCCGGGAAGCATTGACTCATTCAGTGACTTGGCCTCGAAGTTCAAGGCCAAGTTCCAGGAGAACTGTACTAAGAGGAAGAAATTCACCTATCTTAGTACAGCCGGGCAGAGGGAATCTGAGAACCTCACCCAATTTCTTACCCGGTGGAAGGAGGAGGTAGACAAGGTTGAGGAGATGGACGACAAGACAGTGTTGTCACTCCTCCTGAATGGCTTGCGTGCTGGGGAACTTTACAAGGAATTCTGCCGAAAACCCCTGGCCACGTATCAGGAGGCCTACCACACTGCATGGGAATTTGCTGAGGCTGAAACTCAACTCCGAGCGAAGAAGGAAGCCGAGCATGGTTACAAGCCCAAGCCGGTGCAGATCAAGAAGGAAGAAGCACCGGCAACTAGCCGGTCAAGGCATCACTATGACCCAGTCGTCCGCATGGTCAACACAGAAGAGTGCCAGGAGATAAGGAAAGCACCGGCTCCCTGCCCAGTCAATCCTCTGGAGAATCCTACCGGTCATATAGGACGGCAGTGGTCGGGCACCTATTGCTCATACCACCGGTCAGATTCCCATAACACCTCAGAATGCAAGAGTGTTAAGGGAGTGATCCAGCAGATGATAGACAGCGGGGAACTAGGAAAGGATTATCTGCAGAAGGCCCAGGAGAAAAACCACCAGTGGGTTAGGCCAGCAACCCAGGAGAATGACCGGGACAAGGACCGGCGGAGGAAGAACCGGCAGAGGGAACAACCTCCCCTTGACAAAGAGCATATTGGAATGATCTTCGGCGGACCCGAGGGGGGAGATTCAGCCGCGCAGCGGAAAAACTGGGTCCGCAGCATTTACGTGGGTGAAGTAAGTGCTGAACCGGCCAGGCGTAAGTATCCCAGGAGGGAGCCAATAGTCTTCACTGACCGCGACCTCCCTCCTACCAGTGAAGATCACAATGATCCATTGGTCATCACCATGGACATCAACGGGGTGGACGTCGCCCGGGTACTTGTTGACACCGGCAACAGTGTCAACATCCTCTACTTGGAGACCTTCCAGAAACTCAGGTTGTGTCGGACACAACTTGAACCCCTCAAAACTCCTCTCTCAGGTTTCACGGGAGATACGGTGGAAGCTGAAGGGTCCATAGTTCTACCGGTCGAACTAGGATCAGGCGAGAAGACCATGTGGAAAAGGATGCGGTTCATTGTTGTGGACATCAAATGCGTCCACAACGCAATCCTTGGCAGGCCAGGCATCAACAAGGTTGGGGCAGTGATCTCCATGCCCCACCTATGCATGAAGTTCCACACTCCAGGCGGTGTGGGAGAAGTACGGGGCGACCAGAGGAATGCCCGGGAGTGCTATGCCCGGGCAGTCAAGAGGATGACCAAGGGAGTCAACGTCATCTCCCAGGAAATCACCAAGGGAGAGACCCGGGAGAAACTGGAGCCTGAAGCTGAGACGATGGAGATTGAGCTTCACCCGGGTGATTCATCAAGGATGGTCAGAATTGGAGCAAACCTCCCAGAAGATCTCAAGGCAGAGATTACACGGGTGCTCCAAGAATACGCGGGCATATTCGCATGGAGCGTGGCGGACATGCCCGGGATAGACCGCTCAATCATCTGCCACCGGCTGGCAGTGAGGGATGGAAGTCGACCGGTACGCCAGAAGAAGAGATACCTGGCCAGTGACCGGCGAGACTTCGTCAGGAAGGAGGTGAAGGACCTCCTTAGTGTGGGTCACATTCGGGAAGTCAAATACCCGGAATGGCTGGCCAACGTGGTCCTTGCTCCCAAGGGGGACACATGGAGAATGTGTGTGGATTACACGGACTTGAACAAAGCTTGTCCGATGGATTCATACCCCCTTCCTAGTCCAGATCAGATGGTGGACGAAACTGCAGGGTGCGAGCTCCTAAGCTTCATGGATGCATTCAAGGGCTACCACCAAATCTACATGGCCAA